CGCCCCGGCTGCTGTGCTCATGAGCGTGATGCGCTTCCTTTCATTTTGGGGATGGGGGTGGGGGGTGCACACAAGCTGTTGGAGATTTTTTTTTAAAACCCCTCTAAATGAGCCTACTCCATGCCTGTTCTTTTAAGAGTCTCAGCCTCCTTCATCCCAGTCAGGAGGTGCAATAGCTGCAGTGAAATGCAGGACAATGTAGCCCCGGCTGCTGTGCTCATGAGCGTGATGCGCTTCCTTTCATTTTGGGGATGGGGGTGGGGGGTGCACACAAGCTGTTGGAGATTTTTTTTTAAAACCCCTCTAAATGAGCCTACTCCATGCCTGTTCTTTTAAGAGTCTCAGCCTCCTTCATCCCAGTCAGGAGGTGCAATAGCTGCAGTGAAATGCAGGACAATGTAGCACTTTAATAGCTGCAGTGCTTGTCTGCGGGGTTTCAAAAGATGGGGATGGAATTTGTTCCCTCTGGCATGAAGTAACCTGGAACTGCAGACTTGGAGGTATACATTTCCTGTGTGAAGTGCAATGGCAGAGAGGGAATGGAGGATCTTGACACATCTCTTGCAGGCTCGGCTGTTTCACGTGTGCTTGTGCGGAGGAAGGCTAGTTGGCATTTCTTTTTCAGGGAAAGAAAAACTTAGTGAGGTGGTGGGGAAGAATGGTAGTGAAATTGGGTGTTGGAACTGTAAACGTTAACATACAAAATTGATTATTACCGGACGGAAATGTAAATGCCAGAGGTTTCTGGTCACTTTGGAACTCAAATTCAGGATAACTTCATATGAAGAACATATGGCCCATAATCCCCACTATAAAAATGACCTTTCAGCATTTTGTCTTTTTAATTATGGGTGCAACTGATTTTTTTTCAGGCAACATTCTTTCTTGTCATTTTGTGTATTGCACTCCTCTCCTGCAATGTTTCTCACTGAACAGTATGATATTTATCTAATGTGGTTTCCAAGAATTTCTTGAGTTTCTTGGATGTGAGAAAAGTGAATGGATTGACAAAGTCCTGGAATGTTCTGTTGGAACTAGTGATTTCTTTTCATGTTCATAATATTTTAGTTATCTAGAATAGTAAAAATCAAATTCTTATCATTTGTACTTATCGCTCTGATTATTTTCTTATGTACTATGGAGATTATTTTTTCTTAGCATGATTGATTTCTCTAGCCTCTTCTGGGCAGATGTCATTACAAACCAAGAGGGCTTTTCCAAAAGAAAGAGCCATTTTTTTTCTAAGAAGCTTTATGGCGCCAGTAGTAGGAGACTATTGGAGGGGGCAATATTGGTTAATTAATTTAGTACTTTGTTCATCTAATGTTGGATGGTCATCAGGAGCCTATATAGCTTGTTTATAAATAAAAGGCAGATGTTATTTTCTCCTCTGATGGGGAAGAGATGTAAAGAAAAGCCTGTATACCAGAATCTTTATAAAAGACCCAATCCTGAATTACTTGTCAACCCAAACTGTTATTGATGAGCACGAGTAATGGAGAGTTAGGTCCTTACTTTCCTTTACTTTAGAGCTATATAGAGCTGCTTTCAGTTTGTTCTGAGATGTCCTTCCTGTTTGCAAGAGTGAAACTATCAAAGAATAAATGAAATGCATATAAGTATTTCAATAGAAATTCCTTGTAACACTGAAAACAGAAATTGATGGCATAGATAGATGAGCTAAACAAAGTTCTTACTAACATGCTACCCAAAAGGATAGATCCCTGGTAGGCGCTATCAAAATCTTTTGTAACAATCTCTTAATGAGGGATTATATATGATTGGTGTACATGACTATAAAAAATATCGTTATTAGCGTGTAAAAGGGAGCATTTAATCTTCAAGATTACATAGGTGTTGATGAGAAACAGGCAGATGACAAAACTGACCAGCACTTTTTAGAGACTACTTTTCATATTTAATCTTTCAGAGAACTGTTGATATGCAACATAATCTAGCAAAGCATGATCCGTGTATCTTTGCTGTCTTGCACTGGAATTTAAATAAGTCATCTTGAAGTAGACAGTGGGCATGCATGGCAATCCCTGCGGTTGACTAAAAAATGATTGTTAATTTATGCTTAGTAAGCCATACTTTATATGCCATCAGTTCATCTGTTTAAAAAAAATCTAAACAGTTTAATCACAGCTTCAAGGCAAACTGGCATATTTTTCAGATTGGCTGATACATTACTACAGCATTTGTTTTGGCTTGGAGCCATGGAATGTCATTGCAAGGATCCTCTGCCATTTTTAAAGGCATACTTTACCATGGTGTTGATTATTTGCAACGTTGATTTATCCTACAGAAGTTGTTTATTGTTTTACATTTGCAATGATTTTCAAAACTGTTAAATCCAGGATGAGCTGTCCCTTTAAGAAGCCCAGTGAGTCTTCCCAGTGACGTTTATGGTGGCTGCCTGCCAGAACAATATGCTGTTTTGCCAGCTTTCCTGAGAAGAAATGGAACAAATTTTGCTTTGCAAGATTAAATAATCATATTGAATTAAAAACAGAAGAATGCTTTTGTAGAGAAGGGTTTTTTTTTCAATTTAAAGATTATACCATTACATGTATTATATGCAAGCAGCAAAAAGCATGGTGTGCTGTGTAATATAGGGCATTGCTTTTTGAGTACTGAACTGAAGAAACTGAACCTTCAGATCATGCTTTTAAATAATTTAAGGAAATAATTTTCCATGTTTCCTATTTTAATCCAATCCAGATTTTTCTGGGTTTTTTTTTTTTTTTAAATCCTCGGAGTACCAGATAGAATTTTCCTTGGCCATTATAACTATTCAGTTCCACTGCTGACAATATAATTGCATGGACTTGAGGAAAATAATTTTTACTAATCATTTTTGCCAGAGAGTTATTTAATTGACTTAAATGGGACTTTAGTATGTGCTTAATTAAGTATATACTTAAGTGCTTTGCTTAGTTGGAGCCACAGAACATAGGAACTGGTGAGTTTAATAATATAGGAAGAGAAAATGCCTTCAGGAAAACCTAATTGTGTTGGTAACTCTGATGCTTTCACTAAGGGCTGGGATAGTTAAAAGCCAGCAGGCAGGCAAAATCTGGACCACTATGCTTTTGAATGAACTGCAAAATCTTCTTAATTTACTTATTATCATTATTGTTATTGCAGTGTAAAAAAGTGTTTCTCTGGAGTCTGGACTTTGATTGTACCCTGGTCAAAAAATTTGCACCATGACAAAATAAATTGATTATCCGTGTGCTATGGGGGTTTACTTACAGCTCTTGTCTGCCTGTCCCCAATTGATGATAAAAACTTTTTCATGATATGACAGAGGTAATGGAAATCATTCCAGCTATTCATATGCCAAGATGAAAGTTAACTTTAGTGCCCAAAAACTAGAACTGTGGAAGCTTATTGAAATCAATAAGATGTTCTATGTTTTATAAAGAAAACCTGAAACAGGCTTGGGCCTGAAGTGAACTGTGCTCTTCATTACTACTTTGAATGCTTTATGAAGGGACACAGGAGGAGTCCTCAAACTTAACTAGAAATTCAAATGTTGCCTGCATTATGCAGATGAGCGTTATTTAATGAAAGAGGGTGTAGAGGTAAGAAGTGTTTGCTGTCCACTATGAGGTCTGTGGGAGTTTGGGAGGATATGCCTGGCTATTTGCTAGATCTGATGAAGAATTTCAGAAGAATACAGTACTATTACAAATTTTTGCAGCATATGCCAGTTCATTATGCTTTTTAGGTAATGACACAGGAGGCTTTTGTCCAGTCATCATAACAATGCCCTTGCAACATTGAAAAGTATATGATTAACTATGATCATTGGTATTTACTTTAATAAATGAATTCCTCAAGAAAAGTGCCAGATCAATTTTTCTGGAAACCGAAGTCCCTTGTGTATCTACAGAGCAAGCACAACACAGAAAGTAGTTCGGGCTTCCTTTGCTGCTACCTCTAGTATGTCTTATTCTTAAACAGGAGGGCTACCTTTAGAAGAGAGATTGATTGAGTCTCTATGCCTGTTCAGTTCATGGCTTTCTGTTGCGATTGTCAGCTGTGGTGAAGGCTTATATAGCATGGACACCTGTTCTGTAGTTATGCTGTTACTGGTATTTGAAACACACCAACACATACCTGAATATAATAAATGATGGATAACATGAGCTGCTTGCTCTCTGAAAAAAAAAAAGTAAGCCTGAAGATCCTTAACCTAATAAATAGCTTGTTTCTCCAACCTTTATACAGCTATTAGAACACCATTGAGTATCCCCCTTAGGAACAGAGTAAAGAACAAACAATTGTGAAATGAAAAGAGATCATTTGAGCTGTTAAGTCTCTCTTGCAGCCAACTACAGTATTAGAAGTTGAGGAAAAAATATATAATTTTCTGGTTGGGAATCAGTATATTGAACACAAATATCTGTCATTTTTTAAACAATTCAGCATGTGGCATTTTAGCCATGCAACATCTAATAATATTGTCATGTACCCTTAATATTTGAATTTGGTCACTAGTATTGAATATCAGAAAAAGTATTGGATAAAAACAGCGGATGTTTGGATGCTTAAACCAATATTTGAATATTATAAGGAGGACAGTTATTTGAGT